TTTTTTTTTATCAAAATGCATTCTTGAACAGTAATTTGATCCCATCTTAACCACACGTTTTTCAATAAAATAATATTATACACAAATTCAAAACTTTTTCTTATTTTTTAATCACACATTCTCCATCGTAACACTATTCCAAAATTCATTTTTTGGAAAAAAAAATGGCTCAAACAACCCCATAATGACACAATATATTAAGTTAAATATGCTCATTAATTGTCAGTCTAACATTCCAATGTGAGTTAAGAAATATGCTCATTAATTGTCAATCTAGCATCCCAATGATAACAAAACTGTAGTTATAATTGTAAATTTACTTATTTATGAGAACGACACTTGTGTCGTTACTAAAATGAGAACGTCACTTCTCTACGAGAATGACACTTGTATCGTTACTGAGATGAAACGTTTATGAGAATTGCAAACTGCCATTATATTTGATTTATAAGTGTCCATGAGAATGGCACAAGTGCTATTTACAGTATATTGAAAGTCCTTGAGAACGGTACTAGTGTCGTTACTGAGATAAAAAGATTTAAAAGAACAGCACAAGTGACGTACATAAATATAAACTTCTATTATTACTATGAGAACTGCACAGTTTAGGGTGTCCAATTCTAAAGATCGTTACGTTGAAAACAAACGAAAATAAGAGAGAAATCAACATAACAGTTTAAGTGTCGTTACTGATAATAAAACAGTATTTGCGTCATTCTGTCTATTATTAAGTGTTTAAGCAACCAGGACCCATCCCTGCCTAATGAAATAATAAGCTGAACTCATTTAACTTGCAAGTTGATTATGACATTTAAAAAAATTATGAGGTATGCTCATAACTTGTATTTGATTGAAAATAATAGAATAACTTATGTTAATTCAACCGTTCTTTGTTACGTGATCAACCTTTCTAACTTTCCTAAGTTAGGGGATTCATATTTGAGGTCACATGGTAAGTGCATGTTTGTTTCAAGTTGAATATTAATTGTAGTTACAATTTTTATGTCTTTCTTTTAAATGTGCGTATGTATTTCTATGATAACAATAATTCGATCATTATTTTTGTCAAATTTTGTTCATGAGAACAGCGCTTGTACCGTTAATATTTAAAACAGTATAACTGTCATTATATTTAAATTTACATGTCTACGAGAACGACACTTGTACCATTATTGATATTGAAAAGTTTTAAAAGAACTACACAAGTGACATTATAATGACATACTTTATTAATGGGAATGACAAAAGCGTTGTTACTGTTTATACAACGACACTTGTGCCGTTATTGACAAGAGAACGAATATGAGCGGCCATGAGTCTTTCAGGCCCCGATATTCAATAAGTTGAACTCATTTAAGTCGCGAGATGGACATGCCACTCACGTAATTTGGGGGATACTCTCATTACTTTTGTTTTCTTACGAATGTGAATGGTGACTTGTGATTTCACCAACTCGACATTTTACAGTCTATGTCAATTCTACCGTTATTCGTCACGTAATTAATAATTTTGACTTTCTTATGTTAGGAGGTCTGATCATTGAGGTCGACGTGGTGGAAATGAAGCGACATATAGGAGAAACCAACAGAATGACACAGGTGACGTTATAAACACATGTATGAGCAGCCACGAGCCTTTTGGGCCTCGACATTTACAATCTATGTCAATTCTACCGTTATTTGTCACGTAATTAATAATTCTGACTTTCTTAAGTTAAGAGATATGATCCTTGAGGTCAACGCGATGGAAATGAAGCGAAATGTAGGAAAAACCAACAGAATGACACAGGTGACGTTATAAACACATGTATGAGCAGCCACGAGCCTTCCGGGCCTCGATATTCTGTAATTTGAACTCATTTAAGTCACGAGATGGACATGTTGCTCACATAATTTGGGAGCTACTCTCATTACTTTTGTTTCCAACGAATGTGGATGGTGACATGTGATTTCACCAATGCGACATCTACAATCTATGTTAATTCTACTGTTATTCGTCATATAATCAATAATTCTGACTTTCTTAAGTTAGGAGGTCCGATTCTTGAGGTCAACGTTGTGGAAATGAAGCGAAATATAGGAAAAACCAACAAGACAACACAGGTGCCGTTAGGCGTCACCTATGTCGTTCTGTCGATAAACACGAGTATGAACAGTCACAAGCCTTCCGGGCTTCGATAGTCCATAATTTGAACTCATTTAAGTTGCAAGATGGACACAAAAATGTGGATGGTGACTTGTGATTTCACCAACGCGACATCTACAATCTATGTCCTATCGTTATTCGTCACATAATCAATAATTTTGATTTTTTTATGTTAGCAAGTTCAATCCTTAAGGTTGACACGGTGGAAATGAAGTGAAATATAGGAGAAACCAACAGAATGACACATGTGCCGTTAAACGTCGCCTGTATTGTTCTGTCGATAAATAGAGTATGAGCAGCCACGAGCCTTCCGAGCCTCAATATTCCATAATTTGAACTCATTTAAGTTGCGATATGGACATGCTGCTCACATAATTTGGGAGATACTCTCATTATTTTTGTTTTCTAACTAATGTGGATTATGACTTGTGATTTCACCAACGCGTCATTTTCAGTCTATGCAATTCTACCATTATTCGCCACATAATCAATAATTCTGACTTTCGTATGTTAGGAGGTTAGATCCTTGAGGTCGACGCGGTGAAGTGAAAATGAAGCGAAATTAGGAGAAACCAACAAAACGACATAGGTGCCGTTAAACGTCACATGTGTCGTTCTGTCGATTAACATGAGTATGAGCAGCCACGAGCTTTTCGAGACTCGATATTCTATAATTTGAAAGCATTTAAGTCGCGAGATGGACATGCCGCTTACATAATTTGGGAGATACTCCCATTACTTTTGTTTTCCAATGAATGTGGATGGTGACTTGTGATTTCACCAATGCGACATCTACAATCTATGCCAATTCTACCGTTATTAGCCACTTAATCAATAATTCTGACTTTCTCATGTTAGAAGGTCCGATCCTTAAGGTCGACACGGTGAAAATGAAGTGAAATATATGAGAAACCAACAGAACGACACAAGTGCCGTTAAACGTCACCTGTGTCGTTCTGTCGATAAACATGAGTATGAGTAGCCACGAGCCTTCCAGGCCTCGATATTCCATAGTTTGAACTCATTTAAGTTGCGAGATGGACATGCCGCTCACATATTTTGGGAGATACTCTCATTATTTTTGTTTTTCAACGAATGTGGATAGTCACTTGTGATTTAACCAACGCGACATCTACAATCTATGCAATTATATCGTTATTCGCTATGTAATCAATAATTATGACTTTGTTATGTTAGGAGGTCAGATCCTTAAGGTCGATGCGGTGGAAATGAAGCGAAATATAGGAGAAACCAACAGAACGACACAGGTGCCGTTAAACGTCACTTATGTCGTTCTATCGATCAACACGTGTATGAGCAGCCACGAGTTTTTCGGGCCTTGATATTTCATAATTTGAACTCATTTAAGTCGCAAGATGAACATGCCCCTCACATAATTTGGGAGATACTATCATTACTTTTGTTTTCCAAAGAATGTGGATGGTGACTTGTGATTTCACCAACGCGACATCTACAATCTATGTCAATTTAATTGTTATTCGTCATGTAATTAATAATTCTAACTTTTTCTTAAGTTATGAGGTCTGATTCTTGAGGTCGACGCGGTGAAAATGAAACGAAATATAGGAGAAATCAACGGAACAACACAAGTGCCGTTAAACGTTACTTGTGCCATTCTATCGATAAATACAAGTATGAGCAGCCAAGAGCCTTCTAGGCCTCGATATTCTATAATTTGAACTCATTTAAATCGCCATATGAACATGCTGCTCACATAGTTTGAGAGATGCTCTCATTGCTTGGACAACATGAAAAATGAGAACAACACTAGTGTTGTTACTGTTATGAAAACAACACAAGTGTAGTTACTTATGTAAA